CATCCATTCATCCATCTGTCCTTCTATGTATCTATCTGTCCATCCATCTATCCATTCATCTGTCCACCCATCCATCAACCCATCCATCTATTCATCCATCCACCCATCTATTCATCCATCTGTCCTTGCATCTATCTATCTGTCCATCAATCCATCCACCCATCCATCCAAAGATCAAGGTTACAACCTTTTCATAGTCTCGGAACACAGTGGGTTTCCTGAAGGCTGAAGGGCTGGGGCCATCTATCAGAAAGAGCACTGTTCAGAGGCATAAGGCCTGAATTAGAGTTCTACTTCTGACTTGGAAAAGGTCACTCAGTTAAGGAGTGGCATTTTATCTCTCTGCCTCCAGTGTCTTTATCTGTGAAGACTCCCCCACAATCTTTCATCTGAATGAACTCCATCAGCAAGGGAAGTGACCCGTTTGGCAGTGATGATAATGTTTGCTCAATGGGATCAGAGATTTGAAATTAGTTCTGTGAGTTTCCTAGCTCTGGAGTTCACCCAAGTACCTTCCAGTATTGGACGACCTTCACAGAGCCATCTATCCAGTCTTCCAAGAGGGGAAAGAGAGTAGAATTGTATTACTTGGGCAGATAAGATTTGAATACTTAGCTTAAGTACAAGGAAAATAGAAACTAGACTGCTCTATTATTATCTCAATTCCTTCACATAAAATTTATGTATCATCCCCATGTATAATGGGTTTCCTCGACCACTCAGTGGTAAAGAATCTGCCTTTGATGCAGGAGCCACCGGAGACTCAGGTTTGATCCCTGGGTTGGGAAGATCCCCTAGAGAAGGGAATAGCAACCCACTCCAGTATTCTTGCCTGGAGAATCCCATGGACAGAGGAGCCTGGTGGGCTACAGTCCATGAGGTCTTAAAGAGTTGGACACGACTGAAGTGACTTAGAACATTAGCAGCCCATGTATAATACAAACAAGAATTGAGATTGGAATGGTATAGGGGTTTGCCCAAGGTCATGTAGCCAGTGAGTCAAGAGACGTAACTCAGTGCCCTAAAATCTGTATCCTGGATTCATCATTAAAGCCATTTTATCCAGAATCAACAACATCCGGAAACACGCCAGGCACTAGGGTTTTTCACAGTGTGGCATGGTGATTGGTGGTCAGAATCAGGAAGAGCTTTACTGTTATCCAAGGGACTCAGCTGGGTTTCAGACATTTGAAGTATAATTGACCACCCATATGCAGCTTTCTAAAATCGAGCCGTGGACTCATCTCATCAAGGACTTGACCTTTGACTGCAGCCCATTCCCCCAACTGTGGAAGATAAGCAGGACTCGGCTGGGACAGATGTGTTTGCTGTTGATCAGTTATCAGGCTCCCAATAAAAAGATAGAAACCAAACCATCACGAAAATAAACACAGAGATTAAATCCGAAGCATTTATCATGACCAGCATGAAGTTTTGATCCTGGCTTTGGAATTTCTTTACAGTGTGATGAGGACCAAGAGAAGCTGGAGATGCTTAAGTCCTGTTTGCATCAATAACCCAGCATCGAGGTTTTCTTAGGACTCTGCATCAGATCTTTGGAGTATTAAACCTTGGAATGTGTAATTTTACGATTTTCCAAAATGTGGCTCTGGCCTTTTTCATATTATCCTTTTTTTTTTTACTTGTAACCAATCTGGAAGGGGATCATAAACTTGGGACTGGTTAGTTTGCCTTTTTTTTTTTCTCTTGCCAAGGGTACCCTGCAGCTGTACTTTCTATTATTGAAAAGGGGAACGCCCTGGTTAAATGGAAAACCCAAAGGTTATGATTCCAGCAACAATGGAAACATTCAGATTTATGGATCTGAGGGGTGGAGGGAAGGAAGAATGGAGGGAAGGAATCGAAGGAGGAGGTGGCCAGGACAAAAAAATAAATAAGTGGAGTGTAGCAGTGTCCTTAAGATGCCCCCAAAATGCTAGGTTGAAAAGTGAAAAATAAGGACCCTTGCTCATCTGGATGTCTTCAAACATCTGGATGGTTGGCATCATGTAGCTAGAACACCTGGAAGAATGATGATTGCATTTTTCAATTTTTGGGGACCAATGTTTGAGTATCCTATGGGTCCCAGATGTGTCCCAGAAAGAATTTAGCTGAAAATAAGTGCTTGCTATTAGATGGGTGCAACATAGATGTGAAGATACATGTTTAGGGGGAGATTTTGGACATATGTGGGGTATCATCTGGAGAATGATGAGAGTGGAGGTGTTGGGTGGAACCCACATCCAAGCTACCCTACTTGGCATGGACTGTTGGTTTATAGTCCAGTGCTAAGCCGTAGGACTTACTGTGAGGAGAAGACGGACTTGAACCTTTACCTCTAAGGACTGCCTGCTCATCACAGTGTCAGCCTCCTGCTCTCACAGGTCCTGCCCTCGTTCCCTTGCCCCTGGACAGGGGAGGATGGAGAAGGGCCAAGGATGTGCTCTGAGCAGGACCATAGCAGTTGACCAGCACCCGGTAGGGGCTTGATCGGGGCTCAGTCAGTATTTGTTAGGTGGCTGAGTGAGTGGCATTGGCTAGTAGAAATCCAGAGAGCTGGAGGCAAGGTGAATTAGTCATGTCTTTGATCCCAGCCTCCACTCTTTCCCAGCTGTAATAGCCTTGAGCAGGTCACTCCTCTGAGCTTCAGTTTCTGCCTCTAAGAGATGAAATGAGAACAGCCGCCTTGAGGAAAGATTGTGAGATTAGAGTTAGATCACTTAGTAGGTGCTCAATAAATTCTAGCTCTTATTTCCTTCCTTATTTGGTCCTGTGTCCTGCTATCAACCATCACTGTGGTCACAGATGTGGGAGTGTCCCAGGGTTTCATTTTTCTTCACACCCCAAACATGGCATAGTTCCTTTTTTTATATAGACTTTGTTTTTTTTTTTAAAAGAGACCAGTATGTCCTTTTATTATAAAGAAGTTTAGGTATGAAAGATAGAGTGGTTTACCCACACCATACCACCATTTGACAGCACAGCTGGGAAAAGACTCTGTTTTCTAAGTCTAGTTCTCAATTATTATCAGCATATTTCTTAGTGTTGTTCATTAGAAAGAGATCGGAAGTGAGGAAAGAAAAATCTCCAGCTTGGGGAGTAAAATCCCAGCCAAGGAATGAATCCGTGTGAGGTTTACGCCTGGGTAGAAACTCCCTAGGACTGCTTCCCCTGAAGGAAACACCTGGAGGTGTGTTATTATGGATGAGGTCTGCCGGGACACAGGTGGTGTTACCCTGGCAACACGAGCTGCCCTGGGTGATGGATGCAGGAGATTTCCATGCTTGATATTATTACGCCTGAGCTGCCCAGTGAGGTAAGTATTGCTGACTCTGATTCAAAGGTGATAAAAAGGAATTCTGGAGATGGCAGATACCTTGCTAGTGTCCCACCGATACTAAGTAAAAGGGCCAGAGTCAGGCATGTCTAGGTTTCTTAACTGAGGTCTGCATCTTAGGGGGTCTTTGAGCCCCTTGAAGTTGTCCGCATCGCTTTTGTCTATACCTACAGTTCTCAAAATGTTGTGTTTCAGTGTTTTTTCCTAGGAGAGAGCCCCGCACTTTTGTTAGAACCCAAAGGGGTCAGTGACCCCAAAGTGGTTAAGGAAGACCCTCTTTCAGCACAGAACTCTCTCTCCATTGCTCTGTATTAGGGATTAATTAGTGCCCACAGGATGGAAGTGACTTGCTCAGCGAGGAAATGGTGACATAGTAGTTGGTACCAACTCCACAGCTCCTCACTGGGTCCTTGTTCACACGAAGTGTCAGGAAGGGATTTGGAGATTCATTTCAGTTTCCATCCATGTATCCGTCTGTCCACGCACTGTTCCATCTGTTGCAGAAGTATTTGCTGCATGTCTTACAGTCTCGCATGGATTGAAGAGCAGGGATTTTATCACGCGATTCCTCGGATTCTAATCCCAGCTGCACTGTTTATCAGCCACAGAGGACCACGGGCAAGTTTCTTTTGTTGTTGTCGTTGTTGAGTCGCTCAGTCATGTCTGACTCTTTGCGACTCCGTGGACTGCAGCATGCCAGGTTCCCCTGTCCTTTGCTATCTACCGGAGTTTGCGCAGGTTCATGTGCATTGAGTCGGTGATGCCGTCCGACCATCTCATCTCCTGTCGTCCCCTTCTCCTTCTAGTTACTTTATGACGTCATGTTAGTTTCTACCATGCAGCGGGATGAATCGGCGGTACAGACACACATACCCCTCCTTGCTGGGCTTCCCGTACAGGTCACGTGGTGTAGCAGGCAGGATTCTTGGCCTCTGTGTGTCTCCTTCGTCTTATCTGTAAGTTGAGGATACTAAGAGAACCCACCTCGTGAGGTTGTTGAGATTAAATGGGTGACCTCATGAAGAGTACTCAGAACAGTGACAGGCAGTAAGCACTGTATGTGTTTTTATTGTTATGGTTGATGCTGTTGTTATTGTTGTTACCAGGTATACGTCCCAGGCTCTGGGAAGATAGTGATGGGTATTCCAGACCATGTGTTGCCTTCATAAAATTTACATGCTGGGGAGGAGGGAAGAATATAATAATAATTGTCATTTATTGAGCGTTTCCTTGTACCAAGCTCTGGACTAAGTACTTAACCTATATTTTCCCATTTCATTTAGCGCTTCCCTTTCTAGAAAGTGCCATTATGACTCTTTCCATTTTACAGGTGAAGAAGCTGAGCTCAATTTCCCCACCTTCTAGAATTTATACAAAGCATCTTCTCTAACAGTTGCATTAATGTTCTACTGAGGGAATACACTAAAATTGATTTTTTAAAAAAGAAACTGGGCTCTGAAAGGTCAAACTGTTTGCTTAGGGCTCTGTGGCCCAAAGTCTTCGCTGTGACAGGCCACCCCCTTTATGATTGGAACGGAGGTTGGAGCTAACCATCTTTCAGACTTAATCCTTCCATCCTGGGGCCAAATGGCTATCTCAGCCTTGAGCTGTGGGGTGGCTGGTCCCTGGCCTCATGGGTGTCTGTCCTCCTGTCTTCCCGCAGATGAAGAATGTTCCAGCACAGACCATCCCTATAAGAAGCCCTACATGGAGACATCACCTAGCGAGGAGGACCCCTTCTACCGCTCCGGCTACCCCCAGCAGCAGGGCCTGGGTGCCTCCTACCGGACAGAGTCAGCCCAGCGGCAGGCCTGCATGTACGCCAGCTCCGCGCCCCCCAGCGAGCCCGTGCCCAGCCTGGAGGACATTAGCTGCAACGCCTGGCCCAGCATGTCCTCGTATAGCAGCTGCACAGTCACCACCGTTCAACCCATGGACAGGCTGCCCTATCAGCACTTCTCCGCCCACTTCACCTCGGGGCCCCTGGTCCCCCGGCTGGCCGGCATGGCCAACCACGGCTCCCCGCAGCTTGGAGAGGGAATGTTCCAACACCAGACCTCCGTGGCCCACCAGCCTGTGGTCAGGCAGTGCGGGCCTCAGACTGGCCTCCAGTCCCCGGGCGGCCTCCAGGCATCGGAGTTTCTGTACGCTCACGGTGTACCAAGGACCCTGTCCCCGCATCAGTATCACTCGGCCGTGCACGGAGTCGGCATGGTTCCAGAGTGGAATGACAACAGCTAAGGCCAGGCCTGCTCCTTTGCTGCCGTTTTCCAGAGGGAGGGGAGAGAGAGACGGCCACAGGGAGAACCCCACGGACGGAATGTCTCATTTCACCGCGCGTTCACGCCTGCACTTGAGAACTGCCCCTGCCCCCATACCCCCCCCTCGACACTGATGTAATCAGTCGCTTGAAACCACAATTCAAAAAATGTGACTTTGTTTTGTCTCAAGACTAAAAAACGACAAGAAGAGATGAGTCCCCGCCCCGCCCCCCTGCACTCCTCCACAACCACCGCCTTCCTCAACTGGCCACAATCACACCACCTCCAGGACGCCCTCCCTGATTTCTTCTTTTGGTCTCCAGAAAGTCCTGCCTCCTGGAGTGTTTGATCCTCATGCGTAGTTGGAGTCCTTCCCTGTCTTGGTGTTAATGTTGACGTTGTTATATAATAAATAATAATATATTTTTTCTTTCAATTTTCTTAATGGGACCCAGTCCCTTATTCTGGGGGAGGTCTGAGACAAGTATGTTTCAAGATATGTACTTGTGGGGTTTCCCTCAAATACTCCTCCAACCCCCCAAACCTAAATTGGCCACCCTCCCTCTTGACTTAAGAAATTACCTACCTCTGCCAGGGATGTTTCTGTCAAGCTTCCCTGCCTCCCAGCTTCTCTCCAATCTTGGCCTCCCTTCCCCATCCTCATGGAGCCCAGGTTCGCCTCCTGCCCACCAGTGGGGTCAGGATAACGCCGGACTCCATCTGGCGTCCTATCTCACTCGGCCCTCCCGTCTCCCCGGCTCCGTGTCCTTCCCGACCACTGAAACGTGGCCTATACCTTCCCAACCGGAAATCTCGCTTTGAAAAACTTAAAAAGCCCCGGTTTACATGCGGGCAGAACTGTGATAAGCAAGGCGCAAGCTCTGTGCTGACAAGCGTTGTGAAAAAGCCAAAATAAATATTCGTCCTGATAACCAAAAAAAAAAAAAAAAGCCAGCCCCCAGCTTCCAAACCTCCATCACCGCCGCCGATGACCCAAACTGGATGCAAAACCAACACCACCATCCCTAAAGAAGCAGCCAGACTTACTCACCGAGGAGCATTCTCCAAAGGCATCATACCAGCACCAAATGCAGACCCCAAACTGTGGTTATTGAAAGCAGAAAATGGTTATTAAAAAAAAGTGTGTAAGTAAAACATTATTGCAGGGTTCTTCAGATGTAATATTTTACTGGTACTATTTATTTATAAAGAGGAGTTCTAATTAAGTAATAACCTGAAATGGAATCCAGCATGGGAGCTGGCCAAAAGCTTTTAATTTTATTGATACTCAAAACTAAGTTTGCATTTTTTCTTCCCTTTCAAATGTGCTTTGCTTTCATGATTAAAAAAAGTTATTATTTTTTTTTTAAACTGACCCTAATAAAGAGAACAGGGTAATATGTGAGACTGCGTATGTTCAAGTACGTAAGAGTGTGTGAGTCTGTTTGTCATGTGAGTGTCTTTCTGCGATTATGTCTTTTTATGTTGCTAAGGGCGGGGTGGGGTGAGAATTAAGTACTCGTTTCGTATATTTGTGTGCCAGTTAATGCCTAATAAATACCATGTGCTTTAAAAAGTACAAGGGACTTGAACACCCATTTTTTCCCCCCCTGTGTTCTTTCAATGGACTGAATTGAGAGGAAATTCAGTGGAGGAAATAGAAGGAGAAGTCTGGCAGGTGAATTTTTCGCCCCATCTGCTTTCTCCAGCTGTTCTCAGGGGTGTTTGGAATCCTGTATTCAAGCGTGATGGAGCTGAGTGTGTTTATCCACTGACTTAGACTTCTGGAATGGAGATATTTGTTTTAATTGAATTTGAGTCAGCACTGGAAAAGAAAAATCAGGAATCCCAACTAACCAAAAAAAAAAAAAAAGATATTTACCATACCTAATACTTAATACTTGATTTTCTGAAAGATTTCTTTGAGTTAATTTACTGCAGTGAATTGTTTTGGAGGTCCCCAATACAGGTAAGTTCCTGTGGATATTTACTCAAAGCCCACAAATTTAGGATGTACGAGTTTGTCCTGACACTTATAGGGCAAAACAGAGCAGCAAACCAGTAACGAGATTAGTGCCGCCATTTTTTTTTCTATTTTTATAATTTTGGTGCACATACCTTTTAAATGATCTAGAACCATCAAATATGTCACATTGCCTTAAAACAGGAGCAACTGGCTTGTTGATTCCAAATTATTCATTTAATCGAGTCTCCCTGGACCTTTCCTAGCAGAGAACTCCCAAGAAGTGTGAATTAATTATACAGAGATGACAATTCAGCTTCTTTCAAGTATGATGGAGAAACTAGGTCAATGGCCTTCCTGTCCCCACAGAGAATGAATGAGTTAAGTTTCACTGGAAAAGTTCTGACTGTACTCTAAGTAGATATTTACTCTCATGAGTTAATAAAGGGGGCTTGAAAAACTTACCTTCCCAACTAATTAACCACCTACACAAGATAAGCAGTCTTAGTCCTTCTCAAGGGCATCACAAGAATACTGAGTGAACGCTCCTATCTCCAGCACCCAAACAGTCACTTCTTTGGAGAATCATTAAAAATATGTCCAAGCTTCATAAATCAAAAAAGGGACACTGTCCTTCCATAACAGAAGCCACCTGACTTCTTTGGGTTCCAAACAGTGGTAATAAAGGATCTTTATACTAAATTGGTAGGTTTAAGGATGTCATATCCAAAGATTCATGTAGTCTTATCATTGTTTAGATGTCAAAAGACACAACACTGGGGACGTCCCTTGTGGTCCAGGGGTTAAGACTTTGCCTTCCAAGGCAGGGGATGTGGGTTTGATTCTTCGTAGAGGCACTAAGATCCCACATACCTCATGGCCAAAAAACCAAAGCATAAAGCAGAAGCAGTACTGTAACAAATTCAATAAAGACTTTTTAAATGGTCCACATCAAGAAAAATCTTTAAAAATTAAAAAATACACAACACAAATTATGTTTCTGTAATATCTTTATTGGATGCTTGCTCTGGACTGGATCAGGGATAAGTACTGAGGACATGGTGATGAACAAGGTGATAGAGGTTGTGTCATCCTGGAGTTTATGGTTTACTGAGAGAAACAGCCCTTAGGTAATTGTCTTCTTAATTAGTAATTGCAAAAGCAGGGAAAACTGTGAAAGCAGTGTGCATAATATCATAAAGAAATAAAACATGGAGTCCTAACCTGGTTTTTGAGCCTTGAATGATGAGTTGAATTAGCCAAGTGAAAAGTTGGGAAGGAAACCCTTCAGGTAGTGGGAACAGCTTGTGCAAAGGTCCTGAGGCAGAAATGGGGATAGAGGAATGAGCTACAGGTCCATGAATGGATAGTAATCACTGAGTCTACATTTATTCATTTGTTCAACAAGCATGTGTTGGGAGTCCCAGCCTGTGTGATAGATACTCTGTTGAGGACCTACTGATGGTGTTAAGGTCTTTTCCAGTTTCTCACCACAGCTGCAGAGGACAGACAGGTTTCATGAGCTGGGAGAGGAACATTACAGCATCCTTCTGGCTTCCTTGTCTGACACGAGCGCTCAAGTGTGGGACTTAAAATTATGAGGCAGAGGAGCATCAGAGGCATCAGAGACCATTAGCATGACCACTAGTATGAGCCCGGAGAGGTTGGGAACACGCACAACAACACACAGCTGGTGTGTGTGGCAGAGCTCAGCATGGAACCTAAGTCTGTCCAAGCCTTGGCTTCCTTGGTCACGAAAAGGACTTCTTTTACCTGCTTCAAAGGACCGTTGTGAGGTTTGAGATAATTATCTCTGGACATGTCCATTAAGTCCCTATCTCAGTACATGCTTAATAAAGACTTTGATGCGTGAAATGCAGGTTACATGTAACTTTTTATTCATTGACTTAGCAAATGCATATTTTAATTATAACAATACAGGAAATTCCCTGATGGTCCAGCAGTTAGGACATGGAGCTTTCACCGCTGAGGGGCTGTGTTCAACCCCTGGTCAAGGAACTAAGATCCCACAAATCACCTGCCATGGCCAAATAATAATAAAAATGTTGCTAATGAGAAAATAAGAAATTTCATAAATTCCTGGCTGGAATGAAGATAGATAAACCATTTGGGAGGAGAGTTTAGCAAAATAGATCAAAAGCCTTAAAAATGTGCTAATCATTTAACTGGACAACTCTGCTTTAAGGAATTGGTCCTGAGGTCATAATCTGGGGTGTGCTCAAATATTTGTTTTCTGGGATGTTCATTATGATTTTTTTAATCATACAAAACTGGAGACAACTGGAGTTGGGGTAAATAAATTAATGTCCGAGCAGACAGTGCAATACCAGTTTGCCATTAAGAAATACATCTATGAAGACAATTTGAAGAAGATGCTCAAGATCCATTGTGAGTGAAAGAGTGGTTCACAAGTAGCGTGCCTACCAACATCTCAATTTTATTAAATACATCTGCATTCATTCATGCTCAGAGGAGAAAAACCAGGACGTAAAATGCAATAACAGTGGTGAGAATCGTGGGTGTTTTAAAGTTTCTCTGTGTATTTGGATATTTTCTATTTTTTGAGATGAAGATGAATTCTCTTTATAATTAGGAATAGAATTAGTGAAACAAAATCACATTTATTTTTTGGTCATTGACCAAATGGAATTTGTGAGGAAGGTGAGGCACCAGTGTCTGATTCAAGGATAAAGAGATGGAGATTCTGCAAGGGGTGACAGTGGATAGTGGCAGAGCTGGGTGCCAGTCCAAGGCAGCTGCCTGCTGAGTGTGGAATGTTCTCCTTGGCAGAAACAAGGAGGCATCTGGATATTTCTCTGGCTCTGATTTTTGGGATTGATTTTTGGAGGCTTGCTGCTCTTATTGGCTCAAACTATTGTCCCGAGAGAAGAACTGTTCTCTTGCTAACAAATACATACAAACACATACACACACAGACACAAGCACACACATGTGTACACACATATACAGACAGACACAAGCACAAGTATACATGTACACACACATGCACACACAATATACACATATACAGAGACACAAGCACACGCACATAAGACAAAAACATATACACAAGCATACACATACATACACACATGTGCGCACACACATCCATATACACATAAGCACACAAACTAAACCACTAAAGAAGTCCCTTATCTACTTATTTTTAATTGAATTTGATTTACAATGTTGTGCTGGTTTCAGGTATATAGCAACGTGATTCAGTTTATGTATATTTATTCTTTCAGATTCTTTTCCAGGGAAGCCCCATTTCTAATCCTGAGGTTTAGGTCCTGGAAATATCAGATGTTCATACTCCACTGATCTTTAGAGAAGAGGAAACCAAGGTCTGGTATCTCCAGGGTGGAGGCAGTGACTTGCCCAAGGTCAAGAGGCTACTTAATGGAAGGGACGGGGCCAACACCCAGACAAATTGCATTTGTCTTAGATTCCTTGTGTGATGGGTATTTGGTATTTTGTGACCTCCCTGCATCCGTTCTTCCTTCTTTTGGAGATTGCACCTTGAATCTTTGGGAGCGTTTATATCATTTGCATTGTGTGTAGTCTTGGTGGGCACAGCAAATGGCTGGGTCGGTGCCCAGCCCTGCCTCCTGGGTCCATCCTCTGGGTCACTTGCAGACTGGGTGGATGGTCTAGCTTCCTGCATCTGAGTCTCTCTGCTTTTGACATCTTTCTCTAGCCTTAGGCACATTCTTGGCCAGGGAATCAGGTAATGAGGGACAAGAGGACTACCCTATAAATAGCTTAGCTTTCTGTCCCTTTGATGGGACCACTTTGAGTTTGTTTTACAGTCTCTCACGGGATCCCTCGGGGGACTGAGTCCCACCTGCTCATGGTGGTGACCTGTTTGCTGTTGTTTAGTTGCTCAGCCGTGTCTGACTCTGTGTGACCCCATCGACTGTGGCCCACCAGGCTCTTCTGTCCCTGGGATTTTCTAGGCAAGAATACTGGAGTGGGTTGCCATTTCCTTCTGCAGGTGATCTTCCCAACCCAGGGATTAAGTCCAGGTCCCCTCCATCTCTTGCAGTAGCAGGCAAATTCTTTACCACTCTACCACCCAGGAAGCTCGACCTGCTTGTTACCACATCCTTCACTGGTTTCTTGCCCTTCCTTATTTCGAGTCTCACTCCACTCACGTAGACCACTGCACCCAAATCCTTGTTTTAGGGTCTTCTTGGAGGGAACCTGCACTAGGAGAGAAATACTGTTAATCTAGAGCTTTCCTCTTCTTAGACAAGAGGTGGGGAGCACGCGACCCAAAAAAAGGCTTATTGCATCTCTTTCTTTCTCTTTTCGATAGAGAATCTTGAGTGGAGAAATAAACAGACCAAAACTACTAGTGCACATTCAATTTAGTCCCTCACAAAACTCTTTTTAGTTCCTTCCACATACATCCCCCAGATTGTCCCTTTATTATAATTACAACTCTCCAGTCTTCCCTTCGGTTATGTGAATTCCTTTTCAAAGCTGCTACCCCCACTTACAAAGACTGAGCAGAGCATCGTCTCATAGCAGGTCATTCACATTGATAGTCTGGCCAAATGGGGCCAACTTGAAGTTGTGCAGTGCACAGC